TTTTGTTCTCTTTTAGTCATGTGTGTGCACTGCACGATCCTCCATTTTACAGTGTTTCAGATTACAAGAAATTCTGTGCATGTTTGTGCACTTACGATATATTTTTTTCAATTTACAGTAAGAAATATTTTTTTAAAAAACTGAAAATTATGCATCCACATGAGTTTACTTTAATAAAGTATTTCTTTTCACCTGGCTGTAAAAACCCTGTTGAGCATATCTGACAGTTCATTACCCCAGCAATGAATTTTAACACAAGTACACAGCAGTTCGAGGTGCCGTAGGTTAAGTTGATAATACTTGTTACGTGTTCAATGCCCTTCATAGTAATTACAATCGATTCTGCATAATTAAGTACAACCTCTAAACCTTATTCACATTCAAAACCAAACTATATTAGAAGTACATGTAATTAATTAATACTCTAAATAGTTTATTTAACCCTGTAACAAAAATTCCTTAAAATAAAGTGCAACCATGGGGTTTACAAAACTAATGCTAGACTTGCTAAAATATACCCCTCTGTCAGCGATGCATAAGGTGCAAGCAATCACCAGCGGATCTCTTGTTGTGGGAATGCACGAAATTATTGGATTATTGGACTAAAATATTTCAAACTTTGAAAGATGCATTTGACATAGATATAGCGCTTTTGGGTTTTAGAAATGCGCGATATAAATAAAATGCATTATTATTATTATTACTATATGGACACAAATCCACTTCTGGCCAGTTTTGGATTGGCAGTAGATGTTAACCTTTCAGTAATAGTCTAAAAGGCTTTAGCTATACTTTACCATCCTGTTGAAGTGGAAACATGTTTCTCCATCCTCTTTGATGCATGGATAAAAGAAGTGTTTACTTGTATTAAATTGAAAAAAAAAAAAAAACTAGACTATCACTTACTCGTTCTTCAAAGACATTTGACAAGTTGTGGCACTCCTTTTTAGAGTATCTGCTGACAAACTCTCTTGATTCTTAAGCTGAGCAATAATATATGAATACATAATTATTTTTAAATGTATTCATCTTTATTATGTATTAATTTATTATTATTATTATTATTATAAGCTTAATTATTCTTATTTAGTTTTATTAATGGTTAGAGGCTGCTGAGGGAAGGAAGTATTTATTTGGGGTAGTGTTAACATCAATATGGAAGGATAATTATAAAATTAAAGTTGTAATTAAGATTCCATGTAAAAGAAAATCTAATAAAAGAAACTTGAAATAAAATAAAGTGTAACTAAAAGTTAATGACCAACTAATTGGATTTTTGATTAAAGCTAAAAAACTGTGATCATTGACTTCCATAGTAGGAAAAAAGCAAATACCATAGAAGTCAATAATTACAGGTTTGCAACATTTTTCAAAATATCTTCGCTTGTGTTTAAAAGATGAAAGAAACTCTTAAAAGTTTGAAACAATGAAATGATGAGTATGATGACAGTTTTCATTTTTATGTGAACTATCCCTTTAACAACTGAACTGTCTCAATTATTGTGAAGAGGTAATAAATATTTGAATAAAAACTGCAGGTCAGTGAAGTTTTCATTTGATAAAAAACACAGAAATGTTGTTGGGGAATCAGAAAGTGAAAAAATTCCATGTATTGTTTTCACACACATGCACTGACTGTATGATGATAAAAATACAAAAATATTTGTTAATGCACAATTCTCAGTAGCTCACAGGTGTTTTCCAGCATTTCCTTTCAAATATGACATTGTGAGGTTTGCTGTGGCCACATTTGATGTCAAAAAGTGACTTTAGCTGACGTTTTTAGTCATTTGAAATGATATATTGTCTGCTTTGGTATTGTATACAGAACTTATACAATCACAATTAAGCTCTGGCCCTCAGTTCTGTTCAGTTTGAATATTCATACTTGAATAAATGTAGACTGTTAAATCAGATTCCTCATCACAGTTTATGATCACTGTCATACAGAACTAGTAAGGCCAGACTGTTAGTACTGTATCATTATATGTATTCTGATGTGTTTGAGAAGCCAGAGATGGGAATATCTGACAAATTACTGCATTTCTGATCTATGTGCTTCAGTCAACGACACCACAAGTACAAAAACATTTTGTGTTCTGCCAACTCTAGCAAAATGGTAAAGTAATGAAGTGATTTGTAATGAAGAAGTTGTACACTCATGTCAAATATAATGCTGTTACCAAACCACACATTAGTAAAGTCTATGTTATAGATGCCATTTAGATACAGAAAATTCTTAGAATTTTTGGTAACACTTTAGGTCACAATTCACAGTTTTAACAAACCATTACAGGAGAATGGGGCACAACGTAACACTTTTTGGTTTTGGTCAAATAATAAACAAAGTAATGGGGTTAGACCAACCATAATGTTTACCAATAACACACAAGCCTCTTCTACCAATGAGCACTGGAATTATGGTCGTCAGACTGTGCAGTATTGCCAAAAGTGCCAGGAGTAAAAATATTACTAATTACCCCACCTGCTGGGCAAGTTGTAACAGACAAAGGGTTAGTTGTAACACATATACAGGCAGATTTTGCAGCATCAATTTAAATTCAGTTTACTTTAAACAGTAGCTATATTTCCTCAGTAGTTGGTTCATTTCTTTATTATTCCACATAGCACAGTATGTTTATTTATTTATTTGTTTATTGGATAAACACATTTTGAATCTATTTGCATTATTATCCATTTATTTATTATTATACAATGTATTTATTTGAATTATTAGAAATGAAATATTTATTTTCTGTTAAAACAATTTTTTTCTATAAAAAATATTTAAAAAGTTCTTAACATTACACTCAAAAGTCAAAAAATGATTTTGTTTGTTTAATTGTTAACTAACCCCGCTGTGTTCCTTACATCTTTTAAAATGGTTTAAAATTGGTTTGGGCTAAAATCTTTTAGCCTAGAAAACGATAATCACAACAATATAAGAATTTACGTCCATACTTTCACATATTTTTTTTTAAATAAAAAAAAATGTGATTTTTTAAATAAAAAAAATTATCGATAATAATAACAATGACTTTTATGCTGCAAAAATGGTTTCTCCTGTGTTTCTCATCCAAATTTCGCCGACAATTTTCAATAATCGGCAGGAATATGTCTGCCGACACTGTGGTGAAAACCTCAGAAGCATGCCTCGGAAGCATTTATTAATAGTAATAAGGTAGAAGTTGGGTTAGGTTTTGAGTAGGATAATGATGCAGAATAAGATCATTCTTTAAACAATCTAACGAGCAGTTAATATCTTAATAATATGTATTTAATAAGCCAGTAGTTAATAGCATGAGTTATGACCTAAACTAAAGTGTTAACAATATTTCAAAATACATAAACGTTTCACAAAACACATGCTGGATCTCAATCTGCCCTGAATGGATATTTCTGGAATCGGTTTCAATTCTGATGGGTCTGTAATCCCTGATAATGAAAGTCAATTCCTCATTATCGTATCAGTTCTTTATTTTTTTATTTAAAAAGACTGCAGAAACAGTTATCTCAGCATGAAATGTCACTAAAGTGAGCCTTTTTAAAAATATGAAGATATACTAGTAGCTCTGATTTGGGTAGACATGAAATAAAAAAAAAAAAATATATATATATATATATATATATATATATATATATATATATATATATATATATATATATATATATATATATATATATATATATATATATATATATATAATGAGAAATATTTGGCTGAGATAATTTGAAAATCCAGAATCAAGGTATTACAAATCTAAATAGTGAGATTAAAGCTGTCTAAATGAAGTATAGTAATGCCTATTATTATTTAAAAACTATGTTTTAATGTTTTTATGGTAGAAAATTTACAAATGTCTTCATGATATTCAAATGATTTTTGGCTTAAAGATGCATAATTTTGATCAATACAATGGATTTTTGGCTATTGCTAAAATATACCTGTGAGTCTGGTTAAGTCCTCCAGGGTGACATATATAAATGCCCAACAATAATATGCTAAAACAATTAAAAACAAAACAATTAAAATGAAGCAAGAATAGAGTTTGTAAAATGCACATCAAAAGGAAACTGTGTTGAAACAAGACTAAAATATACAATGTGTGTGCAGTTTACCAGTCAATCACATGTGCAAGGTGAAATATTTGTTAGAAATACAGTGCCATTTCTTATAAAGTAGAGAAACTCTGAATCTATTCTTTTTTGGAACTCCTATCCCCAAATGTCAAATGTCTGAACTGCCATTATTTATGTTTAACTGTACACAAATTGGCAATCTTGACAACATGGCGAACCACTTTTCAACCCTTTGGAAAGAAATTGCAAACAAGGTATTTATAATGAAACGAGGTCAATACAGAACACCCGTCCAAACATCATATTCACTCACACACACACACACAAACACACACAAACACACACACACACACCACACACACACACACACACACACACACATACACACACACACACACACACATTTTTTGTTTATTTATAAAGAGTCTACCCAAAAATGCATTGAAATGAAGGACTTTTATTTAAAAATACAATAAAGCAAGTGGAATGTAACAGAAAACAAAACCAATGTATTTATATAGCTGCACAATTGTTTATTTAATGTCACTCAAGTGGAAAAAAAATTCCTACTGTCATATACTGCCATGTTTTAAACAGAAGAGGGCAGCACTGATTAACCAAAAGCGGTCATACATTTACCAACAATAAAGGCCAAAATACAAAACAACATTTGTAAATGACAGAATCTGTAAATACACAAGTCTTATATATGTAACATTTAAGAATATATATGAAACATTTATATAGTATGTGGATTATTAAAAAACGTGAACTGAATTAGTAATTAGTAATATTTGTTGACAAATAAAAACCCTTCTTAAAACAAAACAAACTTTGACTTCAGAGTAAAAGTAGTGCAATTAAATAATGCCGATATAAAGAATATATTATCTTAATAAAGTAATTATAGAGTTTTAGCCTTAAGATAAAGTGGTGAACATGCTCATCGTCTTCGTCTTCATTGTTTCTGCCTTCTTCCTAAAGGGGACAGAACATTTTTACATGAATACATTTTTTTTTAAGAGCACAACATGTGGTAAGACGGCATTTCTTAATGATGATTGCTGATAATCCTTCTCTTACTTTAGGCATAAGACTCGTTCTTGCGTCCAGTTTTGTGATGGATTAGCGCAGATTGATCTTCCTGTCACGGTGTGGAAACTGAAATGACACAAAATACCTTGAACTCCAAGACATTATCATCGAACATTTGTCTACAAAATCAAGGTCAGCTAATTATTTACTGCTGACATAACTTTTAAAAATGATAGAAATAAAAATGCTTTATGCATTACCATACTTTAGTATTAATTACAATTTGTCTTATATTTAAACTGTAAAATAGTGTAAAATATAATTAAAAATAACACTGTACATAAACATTTTATAATTATATAATATAATTATTCATTCATTGATTTTCTTTTCAGCTTAGTCCCTTTATTAATCCAGGGTCAACACAGCGGAATGAATCGCCAACTTATCCAGCATGCGTTTTACGCAGCACATGCCCTCCCAGCTGCAACCCATCTCTGGGAGACATCCATACGCATTCATTCACACTCATACACTACAGACAATTTAGCCTACCCAATTCACCTGTACCACATGTCTTTGGACTGTGGGGGAAACTGGAGCACCCAGAGGAAACCAATGCAAATGCAGGAGGAACATGCAAACTCCACACAGAAACGCCAACTGACCCAGCCGAGGCTCGAACCAGCGTCCTTCTTGCTCTGAGGTGACAGCACTACCTACTGCACTACCGCGTCGTCATAATAATAAAATTAAATGTATATAATTTTTATAAAAATATGAATCATTACTTTATGATACAATCCTTTTAAATATATTTTTAACACATTAACATATGTTTGAACAGTAAATTAGTGTGAAAACATTGTGTATCACTGTATTTCAGTCAATTAAAAATAACACTAAAGATATTTAGGCTTAGTCTCCTTTTCAGAGGTCGCCACAAGGGAATGAACCACTGACTATTCTGGCTTATGTTTTATGCAGCGGATGCCCTTCCAGCCCCAACCTAGTACTGGGACCCATACACACTCATTCACATACATTACGCCCAATTTTGTTTACCCAGTTCACTGATAGTGCACGGCTTTGGAGAACATGTGAACTCCACACAGAATTGCCAACTGGCCCAGACGGGACGGGACTCAGTGCTAACCATTGAGCCACCGTGCCGCCCTGTATATATGAAGAGTTCAGATGCAAAAACCTTTAAGTGCCATCTGAAATTTCCTTTGAAAATATAATTTTTCTCAGTCTTCTTTGTTTATATTAAGATATTTCACTTTAAAGACCAGGAAAAGGACTTCTTCTTTGCTGTAAAAGTGATATTACTGAACCTACACACAGGAGCCTGATAAAAATGCTCATTTTAAAGGAAAATTTCAGCCGGCATTTAGTGGTTTTTGCATCTAAACTTTTCATATATATATAATAAAATTATTAATTAAATGTATATCATATTTAAATAAAAAAATTATTTCATAATACAACATTATTTAAATATATATTTTAACATATTTTTAGCTAATTAAAAGTAAATCATATAATGAATTCCTATATAATGTTTATCAAAGTATGTAAATATATACTTACATGATTGCAGGAAGATCACAACCTTCAGTCATAATTTGAATATCATATCCTTTCAGAAATCCACATCGTCTGGGATTCTTAACGTATCTCAAACAGCATATCGCTGAAAAAAAGGAGGAAAAAGTCATTTTGACATCAACAAAAAAAGTTGTCGAAAGTTGGTCAAAATAATAATAACAAAAGCAAACTTCATCACATCTGCTTTGACACCATTTGTATTGCAAGACTGTTGATTAATGTACAAACACAAGGGTTATGGTGTAAACTCAGCTGAACGCTTCTCGTAACTAAACCGGTAATCTTTTTGTTCAACATTTTCCCCCTAGAGCATGAAATATTACAATGCATATTTACATCTGAAACTGATCCATGCCATAAATGTGTTATAAAGCAGCATGTATCAGTCATAAACACATTCAAAATTTCACAACTCACCGGACTCGGTCTCCACAAGGAAGCTGAGAAGTACGATGAAGTACAAAGTGCAGATTTTAATGTTGCCCATCTTGAAAGTGCTCGAGTGTTTCTAAAAGAGTTGCTAAGAGAGCTGTTATCTTCAGAGAGAGGGAGAGAGTTGTGAAGTGATTCAATCGAACCGATGGAAGACTGGATTTATGCTCTTTATTTGGGATTTTCCCCACCTCTTGACTTTGCATCTACTCCCCTCAGATTTCTGATGCGCAGGGAATGAGTGGAAGGTACAGGTGCGTGTGTGCGTGTGTGTGTGCGAAACCATGAATCTACTTCCTTATTGCTTGCATAACCACATTCCTTCTATTCATGATCTGGCCTGATTTCAAATCTTCAAGTGTTACAGTACTTTGTAATATGTAATACTATAAAAAATATAACATAAATTCTTACTTTTTTATTTCAAATTTCGCTTGTGGGGCGGCACAGTGATGCAGAGGGTAGCGATGTCGCGTCACAGCAAGAAGGTCGCTGGTTTAAGTTTCGGCTGGGTCAGTTGGCATTTCTGTGTGGAGTTTGCATGTTCTCCCTGTGCTCCGCTTTACTTCTCGCCGGAAGTAGTAAGTCATCCGGGTACTTCTCGCATACTGATATTAGAGTACTATATAGTATGGAAGTATGCAATTTCGGACGCAGCAGGGTCATGCAAAGGGGGGTGGCCCGGTGGCTTGCTCATCAGTTACTTGCTCAATGGCTCTTCACTTTGCGATCGCCACAAGCCAACTTATCCAGCATATGTTTTACGCAGCGGATGCACTTCCAGCTGCAACTCATCACTGGGAAACACCCATACACTCTCATTCACACACATACACTACAGACAACTTTAGCTTACCGAATTCACCTGTACCGCATGTCTTTGGACTTGTGGAGGAAACCGGAGCACTCGGAGGAAACCCACACAAACACAGGGAGAACCTGCAAACTCCACACACAGAAATGCCAACTGACCCAGCCAAGGCTCGAACTAGTGACTTTCTTGCTGTGAGGCAATTGTGCCACTGCGCCACAGCATTGACATCTTGTTGAAACTACTTCTTTAAAATAATGCTGAAACAACAGTTCTCGTGTTTTTTAGCAACAAATTAATTTTTTTGTTGTTAAATCGACTTAAAATTGTAAAAACTATTAAGTTAATTTATTTGTATTGAGATGAGACAAATTGATTGTGTGGAATCCAGCATTGTTTTTACAGTGAATAAACTATGTGCATAACTTTTTAAAATTAGGTTAAATCAACTTAACAGTTCTGTGATGGGTTAACTCACCTTTTTAAAGTCAACTTTTCTCTTTTCGGCTATGGGTTTACTCACCTTTTTAAGTAAAGTAACTAATTGCTTTTTACATTTTTACAATTACACTTACTGGGTAATACCTTAACCTACCTTAAACCCACATTTTAAAACTTATTTGACCTTTTTTATTACCTTTAGCTTATAATTGTACTTTCTCAGAGAAGTATATTGCGTCTGCATTGTAAATGCACTGTAAAATAAAGTACAACCACAATTTTGCAAAAACTGCAATATGATACAAACCTGTAATTTTAGCTATAAAATTAAATGAATAAGGATTCTGAATCTGTAAAGTTTGTACGATTTAAATTTCAAATGCTGTCCTTATAGTTAATTTATTTAACTCAATTTATTATATTTTGTTTATTTTTTAAGTAATATATTTTGCATGAAGACAAATGTTTCCTACTCGTATTCTGGCTTTCTGCAGTTAAGATTTTTAAATAAAAGAGTTATCCATTTATTTGTTCAATTATTTTTTATCAGACTAAGAATTTTGTTTTTTTCAGACATTTTTGTAAACAATCTATCTTTTTAGCATTTACAGCTGGTCACACTTTACAGTATTTTACACCATTTATACTTTAGTTGAAATTAAAATTTTTCGATTTGAACCTTCTTTTGAAAGTGTTATGATCACTTACGATAAAATAAATGTAAATAAATATTTTGTCTTGGTAATTTAACCCCTGGGATTTCAAAATAACAGTATAATGAGAGTATAATTTCATTATTTGATTAAAAGTCTTTTTTAGCATGTGTTTGCACATGGCAGGTTTGGTTCTGTTTGATTATAGTCTGGTGTTATTGTTTATTTGAAATGTGAATCTGGATTAAAACTTCACAGTAGTTCATGAAGAGCTTCTGGCTACGATTTCACTTGTGCTTTTGTTCCTTTTTGTCCTCACAAAATGTTTGTCCTGCTTCAAAGTAGTTCTAGATTACATTGAGAGATTTCACTTGAAATAAAATCTTTTGGTTTTCTTCACTGCAGTTTTTGCTGTTTTGTGCAACAGATCAATTGTCTTGCAAATATTACTGAAATAGAAAACAAATTACTCTGTTAAAGTTAAATTAATTCTATAAAAGTGAATGAAGAAAATTAAATACAAATGCAATGGTTGAATAAATAACTCTGCAGAAGAAATAGGAAAAAACAGAAGGGAGATGGTGCAAATGACAGACATCAAACAGAAGCTTTCTGTTATGAATAAATTTTATTTTATTAAATTCCATCCCCTAAAATTGGATAAAATGTGCAGAGAGAAATTATAAATTTATATAGGAAAATGTAAAATAGCACTGGCTAATTTGGATGTGACCTTTATTTTTTTAACTTATGAAAATTAGCACAACAATAATGTGTGAATGTGAATGGGCTTAATGGATTCAAATTTGTCCTGGTTTTGTGTTTACTATTTACATACAGTGTAGTCTAAAATTAGAAAGCTATGATGACCTTCAAGGCTATAAATAGCACAGAATGACGTTACGTACTATAACAGTGACATGCGTCAACTCCTGTGAGGTTCAAGTGTAAAATACTGCAAATGAGGAAGGAATGTTAAACAGCTTAGATAGTCAGACTAAAAAATGTGAAAAATTACTTTATGAACATATTGTGGAAAAGTTATTTAACAAAATGCATAAATACCTGTGTGCATTTGTTAATATGATTCATTAGAACCTAAATAAATAAATTAGGTGTTTATTTCTCTTGAATGAATGTTATTTGTGAAGTAAGTTATTTTGTTTATTTTTCCATATTTAATAATATTGCTTTCATTTAGGCTACAATTATATACAGTTGCAGTCAGAATTATTATTTATGCATTCATTTTCTTTTCAGCTTAGTCCCTTTATTAATCCAGAGTCGCCACAGCAGAATGAACCGCCAACTTATCCAGCATATGTTTTATGCAGCGAAAGCCCTTTCAGCTGCAATCCATCTCTGCGAAACACATCCATACACACTCATTTACTCTCATGCACTACGGACAATTTAGCCTATCCAAATCCCCTGTACCACATGTCTTTGAACTGTGGGGGAAACCGGAGCACCCGGAGGAATCCCATGCGAATGCAGAGAGAACATGCAAACTCCACACAGAAACGCCAACTGACCCTGCCAAGGCTTAAACTAGCAACCTTCTTGCTGTGAGGCGACAGGACTACCTACTGCACCACTACGTCACCTGTCAGAATTATTAGCCCCCCTAAATTATTAGCCCTCCTGTTTATTTTTTTCCCCAATTTCTGTTTTTTTGGAGAGCAGATTTTTTTTTAAACACATTTCTAAACATAAGTTTTAATAACTAATTTCTAATAACTGATTTATTTTATATTTGTTATTTTATCTTTGTCATGATGCCAGTAAACAATATTTGACTAGATATTTTTCAAGACTATACAGCTTAAAGTAACATTTAAAGGCTTAACTAGGTTAATTAGATTAACTAGGCAGGTTAGGGTAATTAGGAAAGTTATTGTATAACGATGGTTTGTTCTGTAGACTATTGAAAAATATATATCTTAAAGGGGCTAAAAATTATTGTAAACATATTTAGTGCCAATGAATGCATTCTGTATTTCGTATTTAAAAACATGTTTCTGCATGGTTCACATAGTGAGAGCCCTTAAACACATGTAGTTTATTAATGCTTATAATAGTTCTACGTGAATTTTTGGAGTTTATCTTAATGTTTACTTAAGCTCCTAAAAGCTTGTTCTGAAATCCTAAAGTGTTGTTCTGTTAAATATTAATACTACATAGCCAACTCATTTATCACTTCAATGGCCACTTGAATTTTCTGAGCATGAGATCAGTGTTGTTCAAAGTCTGCTGTTTTTCGACAGGGCTTGATGTTAAACATTTGTCTCGAATGGAACTTTCTTATTGGCTTCTCCGTTTCACAAAATGCTCTTTAGGACACATTCATGCTGTACAAAATGTCGAGTTGCTTTGATCTAAGACAAAATGTAAAGATTTTACTCATAAATACATTTCAGGACTTACAAGCGTGTATTTGGCACCACCTTGTTAACAGAACCGCAGAAAGTTCCTCTTCGTTGTGTAATAGAGATGCACCGTGTGTCGTACGGTTTAGATCCAGTCTCTCCTTCACCGGAGCTGCTCCCGCCTGTTTGAGATTGCGCGCGAATCAAACGCTTAATCTAACCAATGAATCGGCTAATTTAAATGAACCGTGGATTAATTTAACGGTTGTTGTATCAAATGTAATAAGACTGCAGTTTTGGACGTCACGTTGCTAAAGTTCAAAAGTCAAAACTTTAATTAATTAATTAATAATTCATTAATTAATTAATTCATTCATTCATTCATGAAAAAATTAATGCCTCACAGGCTATGAAATTGCCACTATGTATAAGTCATACGACCATATTGTACAGTCGCATATGTGGTAATAAATCAGCAGTGCATCATAATTTGTTTTCTGTATGCGAATTTTGAAGGTCAAAATATTCAATATTTGGGTAGTATGCAGGCCCGGCTCCAGCTTTGAATTTTAGGGTGGGCCAAGTGACATTCCAGGTGGGCCAAAAAATGTTTTATATATATATATATATATATATATATATTTATATATTTATATATATATGCATAAATTCATTCCTTTATTCATTCATTTTCTCGTCGGCTTAGTCCCTTTATTAATCCGGGGTCGCCACAGTGGAATGAACCGCCAACTTATACAGCAAGTTTTTACGCAGCGGATGC